GGACGTTTAAAAATACGTTTTTATTAAGCCTGAAAAAACCTGATAAAATAAAAAGCAAGTATAATAGTACAAGAAATAATTCTATAATATCAGGGTTAAATAGTAAAAACGAATCATGTGTTGATTGATATGTACTGTGTTAATTATTAATTGAACTAAATTATTTTGAAGCAAACATTAAAAATTATAACTTACGTGGCGTGAATTTAAAAATGTAAAAAGAGAAAATTTTATAACATCGCATCTCTCATAATTGATTACTGATTTCGACGAGAGGGGAGAGAGAGGATGCGTATAATTTATCGTTCTACGCCTTGTCGAAGACTTGGCAGCGTTTCAGGTCGTTGGAAAGTTGACCGAGGCCGCACAGATGTATCGACATTTACTAGCCGGCTGCAATCCCGCTGATAAATTGCACGTTATTATTTTCGCGCAAGCTGCACGTGCTCGCCGATTTAATGACGAACGTTCGTATAAATATTAATAGCTATTTACTTGGAAACATACATCATTGCTCAGATTTAGAATTGAAAATTTTAAATTATTTACGCGAGTCTTTCTAGATTAAATTTTAAGAGTACAACAACATATCAAATAAAAATGTCTAGCCATTGAATTCTATTTTATTTGTTTTCTTTAATATTTATATATTTTATATATTTTATTCAGCTTCGATGAAGAAAGGTCTGTCCTTTACAGATTTCGTCTGATTATTCTGATAAACACAATTATACTCCAAGATCGAAGATCCGAAAAGCGATGATGCGTCGCCAAGATCGAAATTCGTGGCGGATGTATCGTTCGACGATACAATTGCAACGTTATCGGTCCTGCAATAGACCACATGAGTAATGATAAACAAGGCAGAAATAATTTAATCAGGATCGCGGCGCGGCGCAGTGTATCGATGCGGAATCGCACCGCGCGCCGTCAGATATTTCGGTGACTGGCGAGCTATTCAAACGGACTTCCGCGGTTCGCGGGGATGGGTGGAAGGTAACTTGAAAACACGTATCGCGCAGAGTTGCTTGCCTATCGCGGCTAATTACACGTAATGCGGCCCACCGGCCGCTTTGTTGTTACACACCGCGAAACTCGTTATACTGAAATTTCACGAGCTACGCGCGCGCGCGCGCGCACACACACGAGTTATTACGAACGTGCGTTATATACGCGCTATCTCGCGCTTTAATCTCCGCGTCGACATTATCCTTCTCGTATTGTTCCGATGGGAAGTCTTCCTCGGGGAAGTCGAAGTTGAAATCGCGAAGAGCGAGCGAGAGAGAGATATACACATATATATATATTACCTCCCGTGATCTCCACTTGCGCACGTGCGCCCCTATTATATATCTACTACTATCCTCAGACTTTGGGAGTAATGCATATTTCGCGTATATATATATGGTGGCTTTCTCGTAACTTACTCTCTCTCTCTCTCTCTCTCTTCCCCCTCTCACTTCCACAATTTAACTCGCGGATATTGCGGTACATCACGTAGTAACAAAGTCCTTTGATAAGTCCCACGGAGATTACGGGGACTTACGTTTCCGCGTCGCACTGACCAGCGGGTGTTTCTCGCGTTTGTCCTCAAACAATTCCTTTCGCATCGCGTGTAGTTTCCGCCAGCGCGAAGAAATCTCGGAGAGAAACAGAACGCGATGCGGAAAATCGTTTTCTCTTTGCGAGTCGGTCTAAATTAATTAAGACTCCAGTCCAACCCGGAAAGATTTTTCCACTTGTCCCTCACGATTAACGTTGCTATTTAATCGGGAAATATTCACGCAACGAACGTTGAAATCAAAAATGGTCCGGCCGTTGAAAGGATTTAATCGTGGGCTTTTGCGGACGCAATCCGTGCCGCAAACGTTTGCCCAAATCCGCTGCATACGCACTCTCCCTCCCTCTCTCTCTCTGCTCCCCGATTTACTTCCGATGACCGCGGTAGTACTTCCGATAGCTGCGGTATTGCTTCCGATAAGTTCGTATTATCCTGGCGGGAATCGAAGTCGATGGAGGGAACGGGAACGCGCAGGGAGATATTATAGGAAGATATTAGCCGTGTAAAACAGTCCGCGAGTTCTCTCTCTCTCTCTCTCTCTCTCTCTCACGATCGAGCAGCCACTTGACGTGCATATCTCAGGAGCTCGCGTGCCACGATGCGACGTGCGAACGTGAGGAGCGTGCATGCAGTGGAAAGAGAGAGAGACAGAGAAAGAGAAAGAGAGATAGACAAGGAGAGAAAGCACTTCGGTGGGCACAACCTGGCAGGGATTTGCATGGGACAATATCTCGTCTGATTTATCCCCCAGTGGCTGAGGGGTGGAAAAGGGCAGACGAGTCTGAAGGATTTATTTCTTCGGCGTTTTACGCGTGACACGGAGAAGAGGGAATGACCCTCCTTCTTTCTTTGCACGGTAAGAACATACGGTTTATTGCCGAGTGTATGCAGCACGCGCGATCCCGAACTCGAGCGAGCGACGCGGGCGCGCCGAGCCGAGCCGAGCCGAGTCGAGAGAAGCGGAGCGCGTCACATAGCGCGCGTTTATGGCCTTTACCGTTTAGTTTATCGATAGAACACTTTTCCCGGCCTCTACCTGAGGCCCCGTGGGATTTACGGCCCGACCCGTAAAGTCCGACTGCACTTACTTTCGCGTCCCGCGTGCCGCACACCCTCCTCCCGTGACTTCAACATTGCGCGCCGCGCTCTTGGAATCGAGGGTCGTGACTTCGCTCGTCGTGTTCGTTCGTCAGCAGATAGCGTCGCCGTACCGTACGACACCGTCCACGGCTCGTTGGCGATGTCGCTGTCAACGTGCACTCGTTTCACGGCAATCTCGGTGAATTGTCGTAAAAATACGCTCACCCCCTTACAGCCGCTCGGTCCTAAAATGTAACTCTGCCCATCGCAACGGTTTAAATGACATTATCTGAAAAGCCATTTCGACGCGATACAACAAGGCCATTGTCTGTGTCACTTGTAAAGGTCCGTGGTACTCGGTCGGACAATGTAACTGCCGACAAAAGACACGCTGTCAAGGTGGGTTCCGACCCGCTATTTCTGAACTCTCTATCTCTCTTTCTCTCTTTACGCACATGCGCGAGTTTTGCGAGCGAGTCCGAGGTCAACGCGATAACCATCGGGACCTAGGGCGACAGTGGGTCGGAACAGCCGAATTGGGTGAACCCAGCTTTCAGGACTCTGTAATTTTCGTCCGTGCTCCATTACACTCGGACCCGAAGGAAAGTAGCGACGACGATCCTGACAATTTGAGGACGAGCAGCGTAGAGGGATGTTGATAAGCGTGCAACGTAGATATTTCCCAGCGATATTCAGTCAGCGTCGCTTATGAATAAATTGCTTGCCATATACTGGCGCACTAATTGACTCTGACGAGAAAAGTCCGGAAATACGATACATCTCGTATAATGATCTCGATCAAATAATTCGCTTATTTGCGCGATTTAATCAGAAAGTTATACGATCATCCATCCCTCGATGTCTCTCCACGATACCGACATCGTTTCTATTAGTTCTTAAACAAAGCCACGGACCTAATCTCAATGACTCCGCATACGTACATGAGACGGGGTAGACGGGAGAACGGTGAAGTTAGTTGGAGACTTCATAGTTTGTCGTTGGATACGAATACGTATATATACTCACAGTTGACGAGAGTTTCATTCCGGTAAGTTCGCGCGGGTTTCCCCTGTAGTAATTACTTGTAAATCTCTTACGAATAACGGCAAACGCGAGATTAATTTCGCCTCACAAGGACGTGTAATAATTGGTGTCCTTGTAATTGCAGAAAGTATGCAATTAATATCGTCGAATTGTTTCAAATTATTAAAGTTCAAGGCTCGTATAACGCGAATATCGTTGTCGAGAGCGGCTTCGAAGATAATACAAAAATTTCATTTCCTTCGAGATTTCGATGCGAAATTCGTATTACACGCGCGATTTATACATAAATACATATATCCCTCTCAAAAATATTCAAGACTCCTAAAATAAGCCAGAAATAAATCAGTATGCTGCAATCGAGCGAGTTAAAGGAAAATCAATGGCTTGCGCGCTCGAGCGATTTAATTTTTCTTCTTCGGATTCCGTTGCTTCCTCCTACTTGGCGTCCGCGAACTACGGAAAAATTTTACTTTTTATTTGGCCAATTTCGCGAAACGTCAGGATCAAACGTTGGAACTTTTTCTTACCGTGTGTGTAACATGCGTATAAATATACACTCGAAGCTATTTTGTGCGAACGCGCATTGTTTATCGCAAACGCGATTGAATTGAAATTGTTTCTCTTTAACATCCCTTCAAGCGGATTAGAACTTCCTTTATAGTAATACTTGAAACGTTTCGCCCGGGAACTTGATTAAAACTGATACAAACTTGTTGAGATTAATTAATTGATTTTATGCTTTCGCGTTTCGAGCAAAGTCTGCGAGAAGCTTCGTCAGATTTAATGGTGAGTATCGTATTTGATTATATTCTAACTCTTTCGCATCTCAATATATACGAGACAGGTATAAAGTAGAATAGATTATAAAATTGTATCAATGGTTAGCGAAGCAATTATGATGGCGACGATTTCACCTGGTCACTCTCCGCACATTTGTACGTTCAAAGCGTTTGATTCCGGAAAAAGATACAATTTGCCGAAAATCCATGCGGTGAGTAGAACCATATAAAGCCTTTTTGTAGCGACACGTTGACACGGATAGATATCGCTTTGAATTTGAATGTATCTCCCGGGCAATTTTAACGTATACAGCGCATTTTTATCCGCGCTGACGTATTTACATGCGTTTGAAATTTTATTTGAAATAAATTCGGCGTCGACACCGTCCGAAAAAGAACTACCTTCTGGGTGGAAGGCCAATAATTTTACGGATATTATTTGCGAGGAAAATATACGGAAACATATTGGCGACATTTCGGCGATAATACTGAGGATTTTTCCGGTGATATAAGGATTTCATTCGCTACTCACTCACCATTGAGCACGTGGACGAGAACGCTGGCTGACTCGGCTGTGGATGGCGCACAGGTGTAATTGCCGGAATCGGCCGGCAGCGCTCTGCTGATCAGAAGACGTGACGTCCGCGTTTGCTTCTCCGTCACGACGCTAATGCCCCCGCGTTGGCTGTAGTTTATCACGTTGTCGCCTTTATACCTGAAAAATTATTCCGAAAAATATCCGGAAAACGTTAGTGATGAGCATTGAATGTAAAATAAAATCCATTTTAAAAAAAAGCTTTTACGTGTTTTTTTATGAAATTATTAATAAAGTACATAAATTACGTGTGCAAATGTAAGTATTTATATGGAATGTGGAAACACAAGAGGATTTTTGGATCATATTATTTACGATCTATGAATTTTAAAAACTTCCAGGGTCACGGATTATTATTAAGGATCAGAATTGACTCAGAATCTATTCTACACTGAGAGAAAAAAATAGTTGCAATTATTATAATTTAACTATAATTTATAGTTTATTTCGGTACAAATTATATACTTATAGTTGCTTTCACTTATAGCTGCTTTAACTGTATTACGATCATCATAACTGTAATATGCATTTTAAAAAGATGATTGTTTTTTTAATTTTTATTTTACGTACTTTTTATTTTTTATTATTAATGTAAATAGTAAGCAAATATTAGTAAGAAAATAATTATTTCACTATAATTATAATTACGTTTACTACAAATGCTTATTTCATTTGCCATCCACATCTTTCTTGATATTTTATTATATTTGAAATTATTGTGATTTATAATATAACTTTTTTAGAATTGGTAAAACTCTATAAACGTAAAGTTTATTATTATTATTATATTATAGCGGTAATAACTATGAATAGTGCATAATTTAATCGTTTTACCAAAATTAATGTCACAAGCGTCAAACACTTTTCTCTCGGTGTAAAGACCACCGCCTCCAAGGATTAACTTTAGCGCGGAGATTCACTTCATCAAAGATTCGTTTTACGGGCGGTCGCGTTGAAATTTTTCGATAAAGCAGATTCTCTGCCAAATGGAGGTCACTGTAGATTTGTATTTCCGCGAAACTCGCGGACTGTGTCGAAATACACATGGAACAAATTCAATCCGCGCTATCGTCAAGGGAGAACGCTCCAAACTCACCAATAGATGAAGGATGGTGGTTCCGGCGTTTGCAGCACGATGCAGGTCAGATTGATGTCGCTCCCGCTTTTGATGTAGAGCTCCGAATTGCCGTTGATCTTTGCCTTCGAGACTGCACACGGGGACAGAACAAAGTTAAAGTGGTTTTTGGGGCCGTAGGAAAGCGTACGGGTCGAGTAAAGCCCCCGGACCAAGAAGTATGATCGCAATTTCGTTTAAACCGCCTGCAAAGCTGCAATTAACTCAGCGTCGAACCCGCTCGAAACATGGCCACTTAAAAATTCACTTAAGAAACAAATGGCTGCGGAAACTGTTATTGAAGCACAGCGGGGAACTTGTAATCACTTTAAAACGCAACCCCGATCCTCGTTCCGTACGCTGATCTTTTTTTTATATTAATGAGAATCGCGAACACAAATCCACCATCTTTTCACCGTAAAATTAATTATTGCTTTTAAATAATTATCTCGTCGTAATTTCGATTATAATTTACTTTCATAATTGTTTTTATTTTCTTTTAACGTTCGTGAGGATTTAATTAAAGTCCAGTAAAATTACTCGAATTAATGGCTCTATCGATTGAATCTTATCGGTCGTAAATAAAAAAGACTGATATGCGCACGTACCTACTACGCTCAAGTTGAAAGCTTGACTAATTTTGGGCTCCGTCGAGACCTGGCATTCGTAGATTCCGCTGTCCCGCGTTTGCGGCGAACTGATTTTCAGGGTCCACTCGTCGCTGCCGTCGCTGTGCAACGATTGGAAACGCTGGTCGTTCGTGTACGTGAGGATGCCGACAGTCAGGATATGCAAATCCCGCTGCCTGATCCATGAGACCTGCGCAATCAAGAGGCACCTGCTGTTACAGCAAGACACACCAAACTTGGACATTTCAACCGAGAAGTCCGTGCGTTGTGCCGCGCAAATACGATCATGGTCCTTAACGTGCATTCTACACTTGAAAATATCACAGCGTAAAATGAAGGAAAAAATCGTTAAATCATATACCGCGAATAAAAGATATTAAGATTTGTAGACTGAAATATTGACCGTGTCAAGCCGAAGAAAGTTACTACCTGCCCGCCGAGCGATTGAATGTGATTGATTGGATCTAAAAGTAAGAACCAATCGTGTTCAATCGTTCGGCGAGCAGGTCAGTCCGCTTCGTCGGCTTTGAACGATATCCGTTGACGTTTGAAATTCTTCTCGTTCGGTTTAATTCTCGGACGGCAATAACGCACAGACGAATGCGACCAAATTACGTATGCGCAAAAAAAGAGAAGACCTCTGATTGACACCCGACTGTCGCGCGACAATCTGTCACCGGGGGCGGAAATCGAGGCTTAGGCGTAGCGCGATCACGACGCGATCGTGCCGAACTCTACGTACGCAAATATAAACGGCCAGTTGTATATGCGCGTATGCGCGCGTTATTGAGGGCCGATGGCGTGGCGGTTGTGAATGGCGGAAGCCGGGGAGCTAAAGGGTGATCCGCAGAGGGACGGCGAGGGGGCGAAGGGGCGCGAGAGAAATTTGATTTATCGGCGATTACGATCGGTGATTGGACTCTGACGGGTTCCCGTGCGTCATGCGGTGATGCATGAGCAGCGGCCGATAACGCGTAATGTCACCGTTCGCCCGGGTGACCTATGCGCCTACCCGCGAAATTACTTTGCATTAGGACCGCGAGTGATGAATACCGGGTTAAACAGCGGCGCGGAGCGGCCCCGCTAATCCACTAAACCAGCGTCGAAAAATCGACGCCGCGACTATGCGTTCGGTAACGCAACAATGCTCGGCCGCGCGCCTTTTACAACGTTTACAGCGTAACGCCACTTTGCCACTTCATGCGACCGAACAATGGCCGGGTGCGCGAATTAAACGGGCGGAATATAAAAGTGGTCTATTAAAAAATAATAATAATAACAATAATAAAGTGAAAAAGAAAATCTGGGAAAGAACATAAATTATTCTCCTCGTAAAAATGATATTGTGTTTTTGTTCCCTCAAGTAATATAACATCAAAGAGATCCCTCGCACAAAGAGTTAATTTTCTACGGTTACAATTAGATTGTGTAACCATTTAACGAATGTCAGTCAAATATAAACGTTCTGATTATTCCTCGCTCGGATATAATGTTTCCACGGTGCGCAATGGTACGTGGCCGGAAATATTTCGATGTTAACGAGATCATGTGTTAATATACCCTCGTAATTTTCTAAATGTGCACGAAGAAAGTGCATGCACGTAGAACCGTTGAAGAGTTTATACTTGCCCCGCAATTTCGCACGGGCGGAAATAAGAAGATGAAGAGAAAAAACAGAAAGAAAAGAAGAACGCGCGAAAAAGTGTTACAAAAGCCTCGGAACGCGAGAATGTGAACTGGGTTACTGTAAAAGTGCGAGGCGATGTCGCGTGAGTAAATGAGGAATGAACTCGTATACGGAATTGCAGGCGTCGCGGTGCGAGTGCATTAGCAAAAGAGAGCGGCGAAGTTTGTCGAGGGAAAACGATCGCGCGGATTAATGCCCCCGCCCGACGTAACTGCGAATTTATTTGACTTCGAATTGCGTGATTCCGATCGGTCGGGATTTCCGCGCGCGCGTCCGCACGTACGTAAAATTTATCAACGCCGCGCACTGCGAAGGCGTGGCGGCGGAGAAGAGAGTAGAGCGCGCGATAGAATTTGAAAAACAACACTTCGCGCGAAATAATAATATAATTGAAAATTTCACGATAATTGAACGCGAGCGCGAGCGATTTAATTTTGCACAACGACAAATTCGTCGCTCCATCGAATCCCCTCATTATGGCGAAATTTAATCGCGGGACTTGTTGACGCATAATCGAGCATTAAAACGTCCGTCCGAGCTTTGCATAATTCACGTAATAAGAAGATTAATCGGTTAATTGATTTTTTTTTGTTTTCTCGAAAAACACGGGCGACATCAACGGAAGATTATTGACGATCGAAGGCTCGAGCGAAGTAATCCAGCAATACCTTCCACATTCTATATTCTCGACTCGTACGTTCTATCTTTAATCTTTCCGATGGGTAAGTTCGTTATAACCGTGTTTGGTTAGGATTACTCTGGAAAAACGAGCGATATTGATGTACACAATACTATCGCGGTGACGATGGAACATTGACCAAAAGCGAATAATCCTTGAATAATTTTCAGAAAATCAAAAGAGTAGTAATCGTTGCTTCGCGACAGAAATCAAAATTAAAAAAATGGAAGTAACGAATTGATGAATTTGAAATATTTAAAATGATACGTGAAAATATTTCATAAAGAGACTCAATTGACACAGAATAGGTACTGAACGATACGAAGTATATAAATATCTCGTAAAACAGCGGAATAATCTTCGGATAAATCTTCGAAATCAGAATCGCATCATGATGTTCAACGGGCTCGCGATCCTAATCTATATTCGCGAAATACAACGCTTCCCGAACTCGAGCGCTGTTATTACAACGACAGGCGCTTGATAAGGAAACTTGGAACTTACCGCACGATCGCCAAGATTGCGCACCCTGCAGTGCAGGTAAGCGGATTGCCCGACGGTGGTTGTGGTCTCCCTCTTTGTCGTGTTGTCGAAGTAAGGCTGACTAAAGGGTTGCTCCCAGTAAGAGGACGGATGGTGCTCCACTACGGATCTCCCGTTCTTGGCCGCGCATTCTGCCAAAAACAATAAGGCACGTTAATGGGATTTATTTATCAACGCGCCTTAATAAAATTTTGACGCGCGCCTTATAATGAAATTTTGAATACCGAAATATAAATAAATCTCTCTTGAAAGTCCCTGGAATAATTAAAGGATAGCGGAATTCTCGGACACAATAGTGCAATTAGTCAAATTAATCGACATTCGTGGTAACGTTCGAGTTAAGTAAAAAGAGAATTCGTGTAATAATTCGAGCGTACGGGACCAGCACAAATTAGAAATCATCAAAATGTGTAATTGAGAATAGATAGCTTAATGACATATCGATAATTGCTGGGAAACTCGTGCAAATCGGATTGCGGCGCGACAATGCGATAAATTATGCGCTAACTGACGAGACGGAATGTACAAAACGGGGATTTCGAGCTGATCGAAACACGCGCGCGGCAGTGTGATTAACTTCACGTATAAAATCTCGGTCACGTCGCGCTTTCATAAGGAAATCGATTCTTCCCGCTCGATGATTCCCATTACCGGGGCACGGCTCTGCCGAGCTTATCCGGTCGGAGGTTTCAAGCGACCTGGAGCGTTCGTTGGGATACGAGTACAGAAATTCAAATCCGAAACCGTCCGAGACGTCGTCGTTCGCCGCGGACGAATGAATTCCGTTGGAAACTCCCGTAGGGAGTTTCCCACCTCGAAAATTCCCGGCGCATTACGCGACGAGGTCTCTGGCTGGAACTGAAAATCTGATCTATGCCTAGGAATTGCGTGATTTACAGGCGGACTGATCAAAGTCCGTTCGTTAAGTAAAGTTACTGCGCGTACAGAAAACGACACAGTTGGTTCTCGGGCGCCTTCTAATATGAATTTTATTACTCTTTACATAGAGCGAGCGGAAGATCTCGCGATGGCACGGAGATCTCGCTCTCTACTCTCCTTGCAAGAATTTTTTTTAAACAGGTCACATTTAAAGGCTGGATATAAATAAATTTATCGGCGGAAACGCCAGTTTGAAAAGATAATGATAAAAATAAAAACGTAAAAATGGGAAGGGGATAATAGTAAAATAAAACTGCTGTTGGTGTACCAAGATCGTCGTCTCATTAAAGATATTTAATAGACCTCGAGGAAGAGAGTTTTCTTCAGCATCCTTCCGCGAGTGCGCGGCTGTTTTTCAAAGTAACGATCTGCCGGTGTGGCGTAAAATTCATGCAACAGTCCCTCATCAATTTTTTTCCAGCCCGCGTCCTCTCACCCCTCACCGACCGCTCGCCTCACTGATTACTTTATTCTAAGAAAACGATACTCTTGGTGGCTACGTAAAACCTCCCGAGGAAGCCTTTACGTGCGTTATAAGATGAGCGGAGTGAGAAAATTTACGGAAGAGGACGCCGCCGAAGAATCTTTATTCCCATGTTGATACTCCATAAATGCAATATCCTTACGCGACCGCGTAATAACGGAAGCTTCAATTGACAATCAAATTTTTTTCGTATTTAAGTATATTGCGTAATGTATTTAAAAAAAGTAAAAATTGAATTGTGCATATCGTTCATTTGGTACAAAAGCAACGCAACTTAAGAAATCAAGTTTTCAAAAAAATAAGTTTAAATGTTTCGAATCATTAAAATTTAATATTAACTTTAGATAATTTTCTCACTCCAATTTTCTCTCATTTTAAATGCAATTTATTAGTGTAATAACTGATATAGAGAAATAAATGTACGTTTTTTTAAAATGTTTCTTTTTTCTGTATGTTTTCATTTTTTCATTTTTTTGTACAATTCGAAAATGACAACCTTTGAATTAACAAAGCAATAAATGAACAATATGTGTATCAGAATGTGAATAGTGATACTTGTGCTTCGCATACTCCGCCGGGAAAAAAAAAAATTTTTTTTGTGGTAATACAACGATCGGTTTGTAGATTTTGCGTGAACAAACGGTTGATACATTATACAAATTAACAATCGTGAAATTCTTCGGCTTCAAAGCGAAATCCGTTCGGAAATCCCTTGACCGCAGAGCCGAATCGCGTCGATATTCCGTCCGCTCGAAATACCGCGCGAAGTTCCACAATGCGGCGGCACAAAAAGCAGCCGATTCCAATCGCCGACTGTTAATCGGGTTTTTCGCGTTGCAGCCGGTACGACGAGCTGTGGGTGGCAAAAAAAAGGGGGCTTAAAAACTGCAGGACGGATCAGAGCGACCTCGAAAAGGATGAGTTTGTTAACCCCGAACTATGCCTCTTTTTCTTCTCCGCTGAAAGTTCAGGGCTGGAAGGAACTCCATGCGGAGGGAGAGGAAAGGGAACGAAAAGCTTCAGGTGTTTGCTAATGGCCCGCGGCGCTGAAACCAATCATTCATCAATGAGCCGCCTTTCTCCATTCCCCGGTTTGTACAAACGTGATGTATTTTTTTCTCAGTCTCGTCTCGACTTTCGTTTCTATATATTAACGCTGAAACTCGAAAGAAATCCAATAATGAGCGATCCTAGATACATATTTTTACACGTCACAAGCGTTGAACTCCTATTTCTATTAACGTATCCTACATTTCAAGAAAGGTCACAGACGTGACGTATGAAAATGTAATTTAAAATTCCACATTGAATTAAAATCTCAGCTTACGTCGAGTAAGTTGAAAGTGTTATTTTCGGTTAAAACAATAATTTACAATGAATAGCCGAGTCGCCGAATTTAAGCAGAGAGGTGTGTTTTGAGATTCACGTCATTGTAAAATAAATTAAAAAATTTTTAAATAAACAATTTTAGCCAACAGTTGCAAGAAATACACTTCATCTGCAGTATAATTAAATCGTGGAAATCAAGTTTCATGGAAGGTTTCTCTTTGATTTTCCGAGATGGAAACTCCCAGCCAAGTTACGCGCCAAGGCGGCAGCTACATCTCGAGCAGCGAAAATGCAAAAACTTGGGGTCTCCCAAAGTCATATCTCAACTATTTTCTCGTTACGCCGCGCTGTACCCGACGAAACTGACGCAGCGAGCGCACGATGAAGAAGAGAAACCTACGACGGGACACCAACGAAGACATACAAGGGCAATGTATAAAAGGACTTTCGATCCTCTTAATGTTCCACGATGACTCGCGATCGTTTCTCAAAGACACTCAAAGTAGAACGATATTGCAGAGATAAAAATAAAGTTCTATTAAAAATTAGATCGTTACATTTACAATGAAATGTATATAGACAAAAAAGTAAGTAAGAGAGAGAGGAGGGAGGAGAGGGGAAGGGGAGAAAGAGAGAGAAAGAAAGAGAAAGCGAAGTAGATTCGTTTGTTTAGTTGTTCAAGACAAGCGCGACGCTCGCTCAAATGTATTTGTTAGCTACGGAAGCAATCCGTTTGAAGAGATTACGAAACGAAGAACGCGGAGAATGTCGTCGAGGCGTCCGCTTTTCGTGAAAGTAACGCAACACTTCTCGTTGAAATCCAAGTAGCTTATGTTCCCGACCTCTCAGCTTGTTCAGTCACGTGGAGAACTCGAACGGAGCGATGTGTCTTCGGATTCAGGACGTGTCCCGTCAAGAGAGATAGAGAGAGATAGAGAGAGAGAGAGAGAGAGAGAGAGAGAGAGAGAGAGAAACGCACGAAATTTTTCTCGCAAAATCCGGAAAAAGTCGAGTGAAAAGTTTCTATTTAAAAATGTGGAGAGCCTTCGACTCTGCTCGTGCTCACGTTTTTCTGGATTGCGTGAGTTTCGTTTTAAATTTTTTTTTGGTGGGTCATTTTTTAACAGAACATCACTTCAAACATGATGTAATATTCAATATATAATACAGTTAGGGTTGTTTTGAAAAAATTACGAGGTGATTTCACGCCAGAGAGAGTAACAGTTATTATTAATAGTTCTTCCGAAAAATTCGTCGTGTGCATGTTAAACTCATTATTCGTGAATTCATAAAAATCATTTAGTTTCGCGATATTAATCGCGATGAGTTATTTAATAACACCGTGGTTGCGGAAAACCACCGTCGTTTGAAAGATATCAATTAACTTTTCCAATATAATGGCATATCTATCGGATCAATTGAATACCAATTGTCATCGATATTATCGGGAAACACTTTCGGGAGATTGAGAGCGTAAATTTTGGCTTTAAAACTATATATAACAATACAATTTTTACAGAGGTGAAAATAACGTAAACACAAAGGAATTAAAAGTTAAAATGTAAGTTTCAAATGTCAATAAATAATATATTTAAAAAAATATTTAAAACTGCGTAAAAATAAAGACTTAAAAATATATAAAAATTACATAAAAATAAAAACTTAAAAGTGTGTATTTTTAAAGTTATTTTTAAAAATATATAAAAAATATAAAAAAACTATGTTTTATGTTATAAATTCAGAAATTATTTCTCATTAGAAACATTTATTTTGGGATCAATCGCAACATGAAATGTTGGAGATGATGTAAATATGTATGTCGTTGCTGATATTAATGCAAAATATTTTTCTAAGCATATAACAAAATTAATTCATTCAGCTCGTGGGATTCGAGGGCGTCAATTCTACGTGAAACTTCCGGGGATGTATTTCGCGTTAACGCTCTGAAAATATCGTTGAAGTGCACGCCGTAAGTATTACGCGTAATGCGAAACCTCTTGCTAAAATCTAAGTGGCTTATATCTGTCTGTCCTGTGTTATCTCGTTTCCCCACGACGCTACTTCCCGTACGTGTGAAAGCAGAGTCTTCGATCCATCGAGAGGCGCAAGCACGTCCTCTTTTCCACGTTTTTCTCCTTTTATTGCATCGAGTCGCTGTATCGGAAAGTTACATCAAATTAGATCGCGCCGCATCTTTCCTCAAATGGAAGGTATTAAATATTGGGTCGCAAACAATTACTCTTCGAAGCACAGCGTTGCAATTGATATTAGCAAGAAAACGGCTAAATGAATATCGATATACTCGGCTAAGAGTTTTTATTAGAACTACAAGTTTTTATTCGAAGAAATTCGAACAGCTGATTCTTGTATAAAAATATA